GGTGAAATTCGCTAAGCTTCCGATGAACTGCTGGGGAATAAACTCATTGAGTAGGATGGCCAGTACTCTAGGTAATCCCCTGTTTGCTGATCAATGTACCACTAAACAAACTAGAGTGTCATATGCTAGAATTTTGATTGAGGTAAATGTGACAAAAAAGCTCCCTACTGAAATAACTGTTAAAGATCCGTCTGGTAGGCACTTTCAACAGCCCATTGAGTTTGAATGGAAACCAGATTTTTGCGCTGAATGCTTGAAGATTGGTCATGATTGTGTGAAGCAGAAACAACTAGGGAATCCAGTGCAATATCAGAAGTACAAAAGGCCAAGAGTAGTTCCAATGTGGATTCCTAAGCAACAACAGAAGGAACCTGCAATGAGTGAACAAAATGAAGATTCAGGCAACCAAAACAAAGGAAAGGTTGTGATTCAATCAAATACTGAAGGAGGCTGGATACAGGTTAAAGCAAGAGGATCAAGTTCAGGTATAAAAGCAGCAGCACCACAACATTACCAAACCCCTGTGGACATTATAACATCAAATGGATTCCAAGGTTTGACTGAAGAGGAACAGAGAAATATCAAAGCTAATCCTCCAAAATTTAGGAGGAAATAAGCTTACTGAATGACCTGGCTTTTCTGGAATATTAGGGGCATAAATAAGAGGTACAAGCAGAAGGAGTTAAAGCAGTATCTCATAAGCAATTATATAAAGTTAGCTACTATCATAGAAACAAGAGTTAAACAGAATAAGGCATTGCATGTTGCTAGTAGAGTTACTCCTAACTGGGAAAGAATATCAAACTACAAGGAAGCAAGGAATGGCAGAATATGGATCACATGGGATCCCAAATGGTATGGCATACAGCTTGTTCAAGAAGATGCACAATTCATACACTGTCAGGTCAATGGACTGCAGAATGGAATCAAATGCCTACTTACAGCCATCTATGGGTATAACACAACTGAACAAAGGAAAGCTCTTTGGGATGGGATTCAAAGAATTGCTCCTAGGAGTAATGAACCTTGGAAAATGTGTGGGGACTTCAATGTTGTCCTGTACCCACAAGATAGACAAGGTTCACCTATTACTATGGCAGAGTTGCAGGATTTCTCAAATTCTTGAAACAGTCTCCTGTTGAGTGAAATACCTTGGAGAGGAGAGTACTATACCTGGACAAATAAACAACAAGGTGCAGACAGAGTTTGTAGTAGAATTGACAGAGCTATAGCAAATGATGAACGGATGGTGCAATATGGCCATTTGACAGCAGAATTTGGAGAGCCACTTATTTCTGACCATGTACCCATACTGATTCCTCTTAGAGCCACAAAGAAGAACATGAAAATTCCCTTTAGATTCTTTGATGTTTGGACTGAACATAGAAGCTTTAAACAAATAGTTGCTGATGGGAGGAAAAGAAGTGAGACAGGAGGGAAAATGAGGAATGTATGGAGCAATCTGAAACAGTTGAAACCAGTTTTCAAGTAGCTTAACAATGAAGAGTTTAAAGGGATTACTGAGAAAATTATAAAGGCTAGAATGGAGCTGATAGATCTTCAAAAACAAATGCAACATGGATACTCTGATAATTTGGCTGAACAAGAAAAGCTATGTTTAAAACAATTGGAGAAATGGTCTATAATTGAAGAGAGTGTGATGCAGCAAAAATCCAGAGCTACATGGATCAAATTAGGTGATGCAAATACAAGATATTTTTCAGTTGTGATGAAAGAAAAACAACAACAGAAACAGATCCTGGAGATCACTTCATTGTCAGGTGTGAAACTGAAAGACCCTACAACAATCAAGGAGGAGTTCACAAACTTCTACAAAGCATTGATGGGATCAGCTGCAATTTCTCTACCTGGAGTTAATATGAGGGTGATGAAAAGGGGACCCCAACTGACTCACTGCCAGCAAGTTGAGTTATGTGCAAATGTTACTGATGCTGAAATTTCTGAAGCTCTTGGCTCAATAGGGGATCACAAGGCTCCGGGGATAGATGGTTTCAATGCCACCTTTTTCAAAAAAGCTTGGCCAGTCATTAAACCTGAGGTATGTGCTGCTGTTAGAGAGTTCTTTGATTCTGGAACCATGTTTAAAGCTATTAATTGCACCATCCTAACCCTTATCCCAAAGATTGCAAATCCTAACACTGTGAAGGACTATCGGCCCATTGCTTGTTGCACTATGATGTACAAACTCATTGCAAAAATCCTTGCTGGGAGAATGCAAAAAGTTATGAGTTGTATCATTTCAGAAGCCCAGTCAGGTTTTATTCCAAGTAGAAGGATTGTGGATAACATTATACTTGCACATGAGCTGGTCAAATCATATGGCAGAAAACACATCTCTCCTAGATGTATGATCAAAGTGGATTTGCAAAAGGCCTACGACTCTGTTGAATGGGTGTACCTAGAACAGGTGCTTGAAGGTTTAAATTTCCCAGGAAAGTTTATCAAGTGGTTAATGTCTTGTGTGAAAACTGTCAACTACACTATCCTCTTGAATGGAGAATCCCTAGAACCATTTAATGCTGCTAAGGGACTTAGACAAGGAGACCCAATCTCTCCTTTCCTGTTTGCCATAGCTATGGAATATTTGAGCAGACTTCTTAATGAGCTACACCAAGATAAAAGTTTCAAATATTATCCTAGATGTAGCAAATTAAATATCACCCACGTAAGCTATGCTGATGATTTGCTGTTGTTTGCCAAAGGAGACATACCCTCAACTCAAAGATTACATGAGTGTTTCACAGCTTTCTCAAGAGCTTCGGGATTGCAAGCAAACCTGAATAAAAGTGCTATATATTGTGGAGGTATGGAGAGAAGAACTATAGATACAATCTGCCAAAGTATGGGATATACTCAAGGGCAACTTCCTTTCAAATATCTAGGGGTGCCTTTGGACACAAAGAAGCTGAATATGTTACAATGGCAACCACTCATTACAAAAATTGTAGCAAAGATTACTTCACGGACTGCAAAAAAGTTGTCATATGCTGGAAGGGTCCAACTAATACAAACTGTGTTGTTTGGCATCCATTCCTATTGGGCACAAATATTTCCATTACCAGCCAAAGTGATCAAGTTAATAGATGCTTATTGTAGAAGCTACATGTGGTCTGGGGGGAATGAGATTACAAAGAAGGCTCTCATTGCTTGGGATAAGGTGTGTCTACCTAAAACAGTGGGTGGACTTAACCTTAGCAACCTGCATACCTGGAATTCTGCTGCCATTGCCAAGACTTTCTGGGACTTATCTCACAAGAAAGACAAGTTGTGGATTAAGTGGACCCATACAGCGTACATCAAGGAGCAGAACATATACTCTATGCCAATCTCTATGAATGCAAGCTGGACGGTAAGGAAAATTTTGGAAGCAAGGAAGACCATAATGCAGCTACAAAGGCCATTAGAGGCTAAGAAGAGCATCATTAGGCAAATATACCTCCAACTGATTCCAATATTGCCCAAAATTACCTGGAGATCTCTAATGTGCAACAATGCTGCTAGACCTAAGGCAAAAATCACAATGTGGCTACAGTGTCAAGGAAGACTGCTAACTGTAGACAGGCTTAAGAAATGGGGCCTCAAAGTGAATGACTTATGTGTGCTATGCCATACCAATATGGAGACAAGGGATCACTTGTTTGCTGAATGTGACTTGCTAAAAGGGTGTGGAACAGATTGAAACAATGGGCACAGATACAGAACAATGATGGGGTAACTTGGGAGATGCAACTACAAGTCATCTGTCAGCAAACAGGAGGCAAGTCAGTTGCTACAAAGCTTCTTAAGATGTTGTATGCTGAATACACTCATGCACTGTGGAAAGAAAGGAACCAGAGAATATTTCAACAAACATTCAGAGATCACACAAGCTTGGAAAGAGAGATAGTCTGCATATGCAACTTTAGGGCCACAGGATATGTAAAGACACTGATACAAAAGTTGTATTTCTAGCATAGATCAAGGATAGTAGCTCAGTACATGCTAAGATAGAATTGTCTTTCCCTTTGTAGTTTATTCATGAGAAAGTACAGGTAGCTAGGAGTAGCTAAGCTCTGATATGTAATGCCTTCACTTTTGGTGATTAATAAAATTTTAATTACCAAAAAAAACATACACCGCTATATTCTGTCTCTTCATTATTTGCATCACCTTGTCAATGTTATGGCTATACGTAGGATGATTGCTCATGTTCATCGGACAAGATCCTAAGGTTTCACATGAATTTGGGAAGTTCATAATGTGTTTAATTCCTACTCCTTTTGGTAGTGCAACTCTTCAGCCACTTATTCGGTATTGTCTAATGCAAAGTATGATCATTTTCCTGCTTATTATCTCATGTTTAACAAAAGCTATCAATATACCACTATGTTGAGTGCTAGTTTTTCACTCTGGCTTAAAGAATATTGGGGTTGCATTGGTTATGGCCATTCAAGTTTGAATAAGACATACAGTAGATGGAAAAGAAAATGCATTTACTCAAGGTGGACACATATCAGTGCAATTATGACATTCAATAATGACGCAACACATCTGTTACCAAAAAATCAAGTACACGAATAGCTAAAAAGAAGTCAAGAAAACAATAAAACAGAATTATGAGCATAAGTGTAATATTTTTTCTATAACATTGAGGAGAAAAAAAATTATAGACAAGAATATATCAACTATGATTTAAACAATTATGCATAGCTATTTACATAAAAACTAATAAAAAGGAGTAAAAGATAGTAAGGTATTGATTTAAGAATATTACATGAATTTGTTGGGATTGTGGATCCACCCACACTGTTTCTCCTCTATCATTTTTATGTGTATGTTGGATCTCCCAAACTCTATTTGGTGGTTCCTTTTTTCCAGTGGCAGAATTTTTCTAAAATATAGTTCAATAGGGAAATAATATAGAATCAAATAAATGAATATATAAATAACAAAAATGTTTAAATAATAACATGAAAATAAATATATTTCACCATCGATTCCTCTACTTTTGCAAAAGACCTTGTACCACAAGCATGCTTAGTTATCTGTTTTTCCCTATTCTTTCTATTTCTCTCGCTTACAACCTGCATTAAGTCAATGATTAAGAAACCATTATTCAAAGGGCAGTGAACCAAACATTGTTATTAAGTTACCTTAAATTCAGGACTTCCAAAATACTCTACTAAGTATTTCCAGTCCTCTAGCTTAACATCTTCAGGTCGACGAGACTATGTTTCCTTTAGCAACATGGCAAGAATAGTGAATGCTCAGTCGAGCTTTCCAAGCTTTGAAGAGCCGTCGCATAGTGTCGATAACAAATGCTTGAAACGCATGCTCTCGCACGCCGCCAAGAACTTCAAATTTATCCTGAACATACATGTATCATTATATTTGATATTCTAACCACAAAAATAAACGATGCAACCGGAATTCAATACGATATTAAAAATAATTTTACCTTGACCTTCAACCGCATTGCTTTTCCATGTTTTGTAAGAATCTTTTGCCAATTCTCATCACGGAAGGAGATAGTGCTCCTCATGATCAAACCACAATTATTATCAATATCTGTAGCCCCAGGACCTATTGCTCTATCAATATCATCTGGAATTGTAACTGTAATTTTTCCGCCATACTTAGTTTTTATATCTACAATTTTAGATTAATATTTCCCTCTATCTCTTTTTTTACTGCTGGGAGAAACTACAACGAAAAAAATAGTAGATGTGATCAGTCTACATAGTTGCAATCATGTTAAGAGTACTAACTGAATACTCAATATATACCAGTGTTATATTTTACAATAAGTAAAGAGAACTAGTAAAACAAAAACTAACCTGCACCAGTTTCAACTTCAGGAGAGGGAAGCACACTTTTGTCCAGATTCCTTGACGATACTGTCTCTAGAGAAGGTCTTTGCCAAGGGTTACTTAAGATTTGTCCTCTCTCTAGAGGTTCTTGACTAAGATTATTTGATTCTTCTGTCTCAGGAGATGCTGCAGTATTCCCTATTGGTTGTACTTGTGGCTGAGACATCACTCCATAATTACCACGTCCTTGAAAATGGCCACGTCCATGACCAGTTCCACTTCGACCTTTACCTCGTCCTGTCGTTTGGACCATCCTGCATGATGTAGAAAAACATCAGTAAGAATAGAAGCACGATTAGGAGTAAAAACTTTTCGTTATGCATGAAAAATATAATGATGCTTAGTGCACATAGAAGGCAAGTAACATTTCACAAAGGCTTAATATATAATCTAGTTATGAAACTGAAACTTACAATCATAATGAATTAATTTCATTATCATGTTAATAAGGAACAAAATATAGAGAACTTTTCAAAATAAAAAGTAGACATCTATATTATCTTGCTTCTCAGTCTTCAAGAGCATCATCAGTATCTTATCAATCATTATCATCAAGCCAATCTTCTTCACTTTCTTCACCCTCTTCTTCTATATGATTGTCATTAATAAAATCCTCTTCTTCTTCATCCTAGATATATCTATAAGATTGTCATTAATAAAATTCTCTTCCTCATCATGCACACTTGTCTGTGCTTGTTTGCTTGCATGATTGTTGTTAATATTCAAGTCGCCTCTATTCCTAATATTTAACCAACTTTTATCCATTCCTATTTTTAGAATAACAATCAATCAATCAATTATTTAATAAATCTCAAGGACCACAAAAACCAACACAGCTACAAGAACATAACCAGATGTTACTATAACTCATCTTGCTTCCCTAAAGTGAGACAAATTTTCTCTTTACAAAGAGTTCTACATGGGTTAAAGTCAACACTTACCTATGATATATGTCATAGCAAAATATAATCTCAAAAACATGGTACAAAGAGTGTCGCAATTAACTTTAAACCAATAGTTGCATCTGTCAACAAATAAAATTATATAACACAACCAAGAGTTCTTTTCCAGTATATCTCTAAAGATAAAGGAATGACAAAGTCATGAAATATTTTACATAAGGAATGACAAGGCTAGAACCTAGATACATTTATGAACTAATAAGACTAAGAAACAATTCATTTCAAGATTATGGAAATTTCAGCCGACCAAAAAGTTAAGTAAACATAACTTTCAAATGCAAAATTAAGTTGTCTAAGGGGATATCATCAAAACACATTGGCTGCAATAAATAGACGAACTAGAACTTAATTGACTCCATTTATCTATTTTAGTTTGTCTAAGTTAATTTCAATTTAACATTGTAAATTGACCAATTAATAATCTATTAAATCAATTAGTAGAAAATATCAAGAACTAATTCAGCACTTGGTAGAGACATAAAGAAGCTCAAAAAATGAAAATAAATGTATATCACAAAGATGATGTACAAATAGAGAAGGAATGACGGACAAAATAAATGAAGTAACATCTTAAAAATAAATCAAATAAATCCTAATGTTTTTCGCTTATGATATCTTTCTTAATATATAGCTCAAAAGAATCTTCGCTGATTTCACTACCTAAAATATTATTGGGTGAAGATGTATGAAACATATGAGATTTTGTCGAAAAATAGCAGGAAAAATAACAGACCCATACCACAAAACATCTCATTTCAGCATTTTGAGAGGAATACCAAACATGTAATCACCAAAAAGTTCAGAATTTCAAAAAAAAGAAAAATAACTTACTCAGCGAAAGAGATCGTCAACACCGAGAAGGGCTTTACAGGATGATATTGTTGGAAAAATTACTTTCTACTCCTGTAGATTTCAAATGGGTTAAAGAAATTAGAGGTAAAATTGATGATATAGTCACTCTCGCTAACTGTATTTAACACCCAAAAGGATTTGGGGTTTGAGAACAATACCTGATTTGAATACAATCTTAGAATACAAATGGTGTTAGGGCTTTTGGGTTTCATAAATTAGATTCACATTTTGTGATTAANGAGCTGCACACAAAATTTTATCGTTAATTATTGGCATATTTAAGGTTAGTGATACCCCCGTCGCGCTCAAATTTTGGGTACGCCTCTTATAAATTCACCATTGAGCTTACTTTCACATACGATTAGGGAAAACAAAGATTCTTATTAAGGAGTATCGTGATATCATTTCTTCTAGCTATTTAAGGTAACCCATGTGAATTTTTTTTATGAAAACTCAAATATAATTTTCATTTTGGGTTCACCAAGGCACTGAAATTATTGTCTGAATGTCTGTAATTATCATATGTTAGTACACGTTTGATTAAATCTGGAAAGAACTAATCGAACATGATTTTAGTTAGTGGAGAAAGTATAGAAGGATAAAATTCCATAAATCCTCCCCAACCCATCCATGGTTGAGTGGATAGAATTTCCAATTCGTTAATTTTAAAAAGAAGATTAAGAAAGATAATAGCCTTGACAAGAAAATATGAGGCAATTTCCTCTTTTGAAATGTCCTTCAATACGTATTTTAGATCTCCTTTGATTATTCTTTCAAGGAAAGTGTTCTTATTTGTTGCTTGGTAAAGTAAAACATACTTTTACATTAAAATAATCGTATGTAGAAATACGAACTTCCGTGAGCAAGTAAAATTTAGAATTATGTAATAAAAAATAGGTCTTTGGTGATGTAGATCATATAAGTCAAAATTAAACAGTATAACTAAAAGAATGGACACGACAATTAATGTGTTCAATCAAAGAATACTAACGAAAAAAAGAGGTAACTAATAAACATACACATCAAAAGGTTTAGGTAGAAATTTTTCAAAAATTGAAGACTTATTAGTTCTACATTAAAATGAGGGAGAGATATGCTGATGAATGATGCAAGCCTGACGCGAGGTAATTATGGTTACTTTGGAAGACAAAAGTGTGATAAAGATGAGAAGGTATAAAATTGAAATCATCAGAGTTGCTATATATATATATATATATATATTGTTCTTTTCATCAATGAGACTTTAAAACAAATAGAAGAATTAGAAAAAATGATAAAGTCCCTTTACTAAGAGAGTAATCTTTGGTTAAATCTGCCTTTTTCCCNAGGAAAAATAACAGACCCATACCACAAAACATCTCATTTCAGCATTTGAGAGGAATACCAAACATGAATCACCAAAAAGTTCAGAATTTCAAAAAAAGAAAATAACTACTCAGCGAAAGAGATCGTCAACACCGAGAAGGGCTTTACAGGATGATATTGTTGGAAAAATTACTTTCTACTCCTGTAGATTTCAAATGGGTTAAAGAAATTAGAGGTAAAATTGATGATATAGTCACTCTCGCTAACTGTATTTAACACCCAAAAGGATTTGGGGTTTGAGAACAATACCTGATTTGAATACAATCTTAGAATACAAATGGTGTTAGGGCTTTTGGGTTTCATAAATTAGATTCACATTTTGTGATTAAACAAAAGTGAAAGATTAAAATTTGAGAAACTTGAAGAAGTAATGGAGTTTTTGCAGAGAGAGATCGAGAAGAGGAAAGAAGAAATGGAGCTTCGGTCTTCTTTTGTATAGAGCTTTTTTAGGACTTAGTATTTTTAGGGTCTTTTATTTAATTTTTTATTTTTAAATGTCAGATATTTACACAATTAGAGGCGACCCAGTCGCCCCAAAACACATTCAGAGGCGACTCTCTATTAGTCGCTGCTAAACATTTGGAGCCAAATTTTTGATCATAGTGGGAACTAATAATTCAGGATTTAGTGGCACATATTAGAGGCGGCCTGCAAAAGTCGCCGTTAAAAGTTTATATTTTGTAGCGATATAACAAGTCGCCACGATAAACATACCATTTGTAGCAATAAATATAGTCGCTACTAAATATCGCCACTAAAAGACAGATTTCTTGTAGTGACATGAATTTATGGGAGTTATTATGTATTCCTCAATTCTTCCAAAAACAAGAAATCTAAATTCAAGAATTATAACCTTAAAATCCTTGGTCTCAGCTCTATTCAAGACAATTAATATACATAATAAACACAATGGTACAACTAAAGCATGATGTGGGTCTAAGACTACCCGGACATATAATGAAATTTTGCTACGCACGGACTCTCGTCACCTAGTACGTACGTAGCTCCCCACACAAGTAGTACACAACAAGATACACCTAAGGGGATGAGTTCCCTCATACAAGGTTAGGCAAGACACTTACCTCGTTCTCAAGCTCACTTTCGGTCCACAAATCCGCTCTAAATCCTCAACTTGGTCCCAAACAACCCAAAACTAGCCAAATATAATATAAATTAATCAGTACATGCTCAAAAGTTCATAATCTAAATATTAGAGTGATTATCCAAACCAAATTGGAAGATTCCTAAAATTCACCACCAGACCCACGTGCCCGGATTTCAAAATTTTTTTTAAGATAAATGTTACACATAACCTCACGAACTCAAATATATAATTTTTCTCAATTCCATAATCATTTTCGCGGTTAAATCCCATTTTTATCAAAATCTAGGTTTAAACCCAAAATATCTATAATTTTACATGTTAAAATCTACCCACAATCTATGAAATTTACATTGGGTAAGAATTACTTACCTCAAAGTGCTAGTAAAAACCCCTCTTCAAGGAGCTCCAAAATCGCCCAAGAGGTGAAAGAAATGAACCAAAATAGCCTAAGTCCCGACATTAAATGAACCTCACTGCCCAGGTCTGCCTTCTTTACGATGGTGGAACCATTGCGATCGCGAAGGCAATCTGCCCAGGGCCCAGGAAAAAAGGTCATCGTGATCGCGAAGGCAATCTGCCCAGGGTCCAGGAGAAAGGCCATCGCGAACACGAGGAACCACACGCGAACACGAAGGCTACGAGCCTGAGCTTCGCGAACACGGGGTCCAGCTCATGAACGCGAATAAGAAAGAGCTCACCCCTCCGCCAGGCCCATCTCCCTAAGCAAACGCGGGCCTCCTCACGCGAACGCGGAGGCCACAGGTCCTAGACCTTCGCGAACGCGAGCAAGGGGTCGCGAACGCATAGAGCAATCTCAGCCCCTCACCTTTTCCTTCTCGGAAAACGTGACACAACCCTTGCGATCGCGAAGAAGGAAACCAGAACCCGCACTAGATTCTTGGAACTTAGCTCCGGACGGTCCGAAACTCACCCGAGCCACCCGGGACCCCGTCCAAGTGCACCAACAAGTCCATAAACATAATACGGACCTGGTTGAACTCTCGAAGCCCGTAAAACAACATCAAAACTAAGAACCGCACACCAAAACCAAATTGAATCAAACTATGATCTTCAAGTTTTCAACTTGCTACGAACGCGCAAAATCATACTTAGACTACTCAGAATGGCACCAAATATTGCGTTCAAGTCTAAAATCACCTATGGAACTATTCCCAGGATCGAAATTCCAAACGGACCTCGATAACACCAATACCTACTTCAAACCAAATTTAAAGAACTTGAAAAACCTTCATGCGCCAACTTTCAATAATAAGCGCCGAAACACTCCCCGATCATCCGAAACCCGATCCGAACATACGGCCAAGTCCAAAATCTTCACACGAACCTATTGGGACCGTCAAAACCCGGTTCCGAGGTCGTTTACTTAAAATATTGACTCAAGTCAAACTTAACCCCTTTTAAAACATTATTGAGGAACCAAGTGTTCCGATTTCAACCCGAATCCTTCCAAACCCGAATTAACCATACCCGTAAGTCATAAAATAGTAAAAACACATACGGGAAGTCTTATTTAAGGGAACGGGGATCTAGAAAATAAAACGACCGGTCGGGTCGTTACAACTAATTACTATTATCCCTTAGCTTTCTCTTTTTTTAAACCTGTTAGGCTCTGAATTTCTAATTTTCATTTTGCTTTGTCTTTATTACATGAGCAATTGACTAACAATTGAACACATTGCTAACTCATATATTTTTGGTCGGCAATCTTTGCAGATTGCAGCTCATTAAAATATGAGTGATATTAAACGCAAGTCCGGTGAAAAAAAAATATTAAACAACTAAGGAAATGTTACAAGCAATTAAGGCGGCAGAAAAGTAAAGAAAGAGGAGAGGAGAAAAAAAGGAAAATAATGTAACTAAATCTCCTAATTTAAGGCATGAATAATGGATTGGATATAATTTTGTAAGTAATCCCTGGTTAGGGCGAGTAATATACAAAACTAAGGCCGTTTGGTAAATATGTTTTAAATATTGTATAAGAAGGAAAAGATCCCTTATGTTTTTCCAAATAAAAACCATCTACCTTCACCTCCCATTTACAGTCATTTATATTTGCAATAATATGGATCGTCAAACACATTAAAAACCTTATTTTGTGAACCCACCAAAAGTGACAATAGAATAAATTTTTATCCAAAAATGACTAGCAAAATAAAAAATCATTGTTCTTCTGAATGTTTTACATGAAATGATGTTAAGACTTTAATTGTGGACTTAGTGCTCGTGGGGACAAAACTGTTAGATCCAAATTTAATGATGCAAATAATATATCTGTGCAGGAAATCAATTAGAGAAGATCAAGGAATCAAGGAGCTATTACGAGATTGTTGAAGCCAATCTGGATGCTTAAGGAAAGAAATCAATCAGCAAAGATTACGAAATCATGGACAGCTGCGATGGAAAGAATCAAGCAAGCCTAAACTTAAGGCATCAATCAAGGCCAGCACATTCAATCCGGAAGATTTAAGAAGTCAAAAAGCATCGAAGATTCTGTAAGAAGATTAGCTGAGCTGCTAATTTCGGAAGGACTAACAATGAAGGAGTAAACCCTCATCATCAACAACTTTAGAAGGAAAGCTGTCAATTTCCTCTCATCAAGGAAGAGCAACGGCAAGCAATCTTATTCTTAGAAAGAATCAATCTCTTTCCAAGGATCAAATCTCTTAGGTTGTCAAGTCTCATCAGCAAATGACCTTCACCAAAGTATTTATACTCAGCAGCAAGCCTTAGACGAAATATACT